CCCCCCCCCCAGGGCCTTGCTCCGACAAGGGGGTGGCACCCCGGATGTGCAGCTGCCTCCAGCCTTTCCCTGCCAGGAGGAGGGTGGCGCGGGCCGGCCCTGTGGACGGAGACAGGGCAGTGGGCGCAGTCCAGCCCGGTCTGGCTGCACTGTTCCTTTAAATAGCACTGGGCGCCTCTCAAAACAGAAAGGTGGGGGGCACCAGCTGTAGGGGCCGCAGCGTGAAAATATTTATGCACCAGCGTGGCAGTGGCAGTCGCTGCTTCCAGAGCTCTCCTTTGAACTGTTAATCAAGCCCAATCTCGGAGAATAACAGCCCGATTATTACCGCCTTGTTTGCATAACAAAGAAGCCCAATAAAACGCACTCTGCTGTGCCGGGGTGTGAAGGCTGGCCCCGTCAGGAATTCGGGGAGCCGCGCCGAGGCCTGAACCCAGGGATAAAGACAATGCAATTTGCCACCAAGAAGAGGCCGACAGGCCAATAAATTACCCTCGTGCACAGGGATTAGATCGGGTTTCAGTTGCTGCAGAGGGGGTGGGGTGAGCGGGAAGCGGAGGAAGCTGCCTTCTCTTAAAGGGGTCAGGCTCACTCGAGGGCCAGTCCCGGGGTCACCCTGCTTTTGTCCAGCTGGGGCTCTGCTGGGCCCGTGGCCTCTCGGACACTGCTGGCCACGGTGCCTGGGCCGAGCTGGAGCCGCCCGTGTGCCTGTGCTCGGCCATCAGCCCTCACACTTCAGGGGTGCAAAACCAGCCCATTTGATCTTAACACAAAACCACAGACAGCACGCTGGAGTGTGGGGGTGCAGGAGGCTGGCAGGGAAGGGGCCTGCCTTCCACCAGGGCCCGAGGGCATCTGAGAGTGAGGAGGCTGCTCCGGATGGACAGCTGACCCCAGTCTGAAGCCACTTGCGCCTTGAGGGCTAAGATGGGGTGGCCGAAGGGCCTGTGCTGTGAGGCGAGGCAGCTCCTGTCACCCAGAACTTGGCAGCCCCCCACCCCCACCGGGCCACCAGCCCCAGCAGAGCCGGTGTCTTGAGGTGCAGCGACCCCCCTCTGAGCCCCCCCAGGCTCTCCTTCCTTTGGTCCCCCA